AAACCATTGTTTTATGTAACGATGATTATCAAAGTTACCCAAGCCCACTATTTCGGATTAAACTTGCATTCGTGACACGTAGAAGTTGAAGATACTGCAACTATGGGGCGATCTTCATACGGTATGCTTCAAATTTAGCTTAGGAATGGGGAACATAGACTCAATAAAATCTTGTGTAATTGTTGATTAAAAATTTTAGCGTACAAATTTGTACGCTATACGGTTTAAGGGATAATAATAAAGTTGTACAATACATATTAGTTTAAAAAAAATTAACTTTACATATAACTAAAAATTTCCTTGGACATTATATGTTTTCCCCTGGTTACACAAAGTATTGCTAATTATAATTGGTCAAATCACATGTTGTTTATATGTAAATTATATAACAGTCAGAGAATATATCACATGTTAATATATATGAGTGTCCGATCATAGTAAAAATGTAGATCACATGTTGGAAATTTACTATGAAATTTTTGAAAAAATTTTATTCGCTCTTAATCGAACCACATGACCATCAATCGATATCAAGAAAATTCTTTAAATAATGGTATTCTACGGGGTTTAATCTATTAGCAACAAAAATTTAGAAAAGTATTAGATAAGCAAATAGAAAAGGATGTTGGGCTCGAAGTTCACTATTGCCTCCAAGCTTAAATATAGTAAAAACCACGAATCTTCATACTACTTACTTAACAAGTCATGAAATAGTAATTTTTTTCATGATTTAGCTTCGGAAAGACTTCTAAAATCAAGCTAACAGGATGTTAGCACTGTCATTACTACGCTCTTAGGGATTAAGCTTTTCAGAAATGTATTCGGTCTTGCTTTGAATCATGCTTTGGATCTTTAAAATATTTTGTGTTTGTTCATTTTACTCACAAATGCATTTATTAACTTATTAAAATTACAACAAATTGATTTTAGTGCTGTTATAACTACGATCTTGGGATTAAGCTCTTCGAAATCATGCTTGGGAACATACTTTTATTTTAAGATATGTTCGTGTTTGCTATTTATTCACAAATATGATCTATTAACTTATTTATTTATTTTTAAACACAGCTTATGTAATATTTCGGATAATCGCTTTTACCAGTCAGTTCTAGCTTTATATGTTGGTTGCAACTTTAGGAAATATATTATGGATTACAATTAGTGATATAAAGAGGTTTTTTTTTTCTTTTTTATTAAATCGTTAGAGTTAACAAAAGACTTGAATATACTAAAAATTTTTACAATATTATAGGACGTTGTTTGCACTTTTCACAATAATATCAAATATATCAAATTTTTATTATAATCATGTATTATATATCAGAACTATATATTAATAAATCACTATTAATAAAAATTAATAAAATGATGATTAGTGAAGAGTTTAGTTGTAATAATATTTATTGTAAAAATATTGTAAATTAAAATTTTTAAAAAACCCATATATTATTTTAATAAAATATATATAGCGAATATTCTTGGTACCATAGTTTATTTCTTAATATGATTTGCCCATCTTTCCTGTAAAAAAAAATCAAATTCAAACAGTTAAAACTTGCCCGCAACATATCTACAATATCATAATCTTTAAATATGTAAATTTGTCTAAAACATATAAAACGCATTTTCTAAAATGCTCTAGTTAAGAATGTCTTTTCAAACATCACTCCAAGAACGCCCTTTTGAAAGTCTTCTTTCTTGATCTCTGAAAACTCTTCTGAAATATTTTCTCAATCATATTTAAAATGCTTTTTTAAAACATGTTTCTAAAGTAATTGTTGTGGTAGTTAGTCGAATTTATTATAAATAAGACACCTTTGGACTTCTGTCTGAAATCGTACTAATCTGAAATTATTAATTACAAATACTTACTATTAAAACTCTTTTAATAAATCTATTTCTGTAATCAATTCCTATCAGCTATGGATAGTTATTATTCAGGACTTGAAGATCTGGATGTAACTTTGATTTCTGATCAAAATATGGATGATTATTCTGGAACTGTATATCTTGAAGAAGCTATGATTATAGATCAAAATATAGATAATTATAGTTCTAAGCTTGAAGACCCAGAAGAAAATTGGATTACAGATTGAGATGATCAAGAATTTACTCATGATTATTTGGCCATGACAAAAGTAAGAAGTTTGTTAGAAGATTAGATAATAGAAAATGAAGAAGATGGTGTTGAAAATATATTACCTGAGGATGAAAAAGAAGAGAAACATGAAATTCCAGAAGTTGAAATGAAGAAACAGTCACCCTGTGTCATTTTTGATAATTTAAATGGAGAGGTTAAATGTTGCAATTCAACAACTAAGTTAGTATCATTATCTCAGTTAATTGGGACTTGGGAGGTAGAAATAACCCCAAAAGAAAATTTAGACATAACCGAGTTAGGAGTTTGTTCGAGTCATTTCAATTTCGACTATAGCAAACTTCACTCATCCGGTACTAAACAAAGAAAAAAAGTGAGTAAAAGTATAATTCACACAAAAAAATGTTTACTCTACAACAAATATAAAAGGTTCTTTAGCTTAGATAATAATTGTGTAGAACATTGCTAGAATGTATATAGGAAAGACATTCAAGTACCATGCCTTGGTTTTAAATTATATCTAGCTTTCTAAATAATTCAAAATATTACTTTGAGGGTTACTAATAATAATCGCATAAAATATATCTGCACAAGTTGTTTTGAAGCCAATAGTGGACATCTTCATATACATCAAAAATCAGGAAATGCACCTATAACGTGTGTTGATAATGAATTACATAGCAATGATACTAACCATGTTTTGAGACTTTTCTCAAATTGGCTATCAAATCTCTCATATTCTCAAGATGAGAGCAAAAAGGAAAAGATGCTATGGCATATAATGAAATTATTAGAGTCTCCAAAATCAAGTTTATCATCCTCTACTAACGCAGAGTGTAATTTATCTAGTCCATTGCTTGTAAAAATAGCTATAAAAATTAATAAACTCAAAAATTATCTATTTACAGATAAAAAGTATGCAAAAGCAGAAGAATGCAGGCAATTCGGAGAAATGCTAGGGAATCAATATGTAACTCACGCGATGAGATTAAAAAAAACTGTAATAAACTAGAAAATCCATCATCATTAGATGAATATTACTCTAGTTTTCTCTTAGCTCTTACTATTTTTTTTATAGATTGATCGAATCTATTAAAAAATGAAAATATGCAGTAAGAGAAAAGAAAAAAAGACAGCATGAAAAAGCGTCATCAGAATTTGATACAGGTTTATAAAAAAAATTACATCATTTCTTGCATCTATTATTCTGACAATAGCATTCCATTCATGAAAGATATGGCTTACCTATACTATAGCTTCCTTGTGTAAAAAATCTAAATTAATATCTTCTTTGCAAGCAATTCTATGTGCAGTACATATTACATCTCATACATGGAAACATGAGATAAGATTGGAAAAGGAGCGTGTTAAAAAATCAAACCCACTAACGAGATTGATAAAAGGCCCCAACATATGGAATGTTGAGGTTATTGATAATATCGATTTTAAAAATATTGTTTTTAAGTATGAAATATATATGATGTTACGTAGCAATCTGCACATGCCACTTTAAGAATGGTATTCTAGTTCAAGCTTCCATTTAACATTTCGTCTCTTGTTCAAGAAAATCTAGAACCTCAAGAAAATCTATTTGGTCAATCAGAATTTACATTCAAATGTGATGAAAATTTTGATCAAATCATAGAACAGTTAGTAAATAAACATGAAAGAAACTTTGGCATTAAAGAAATTAATGAAGAAATATCTTCTAAAATAGAATCGGGATGTCGAATAAATCTACCTAATGTTGTTATATTGGAACCTGGACCAGCATCTGATAGCAACGCTGCCATATTCGAGTCAATCAATATGTATCTAAAAGATTTTGAACAAGATGTTATCGATTTAGCATGTGATGTAGCTATTTTTGCAAAAACTAAATCGTATAAAAATAAAGACTTAGCTTGCAGATTTATTCTTGAACAATGGCATACATCAAAGACCATATACAGTGCTTTAATTATAGTATTTAGTGGATATGGTCTTTATAGTATGGCGACAAAGCTTGGTGTGCGATTTCTTGACAAGCTAGAACAAAACATAGATTATCATGCGACTTGTAAAGTGCTTGAATTAATACATTCTGCTGTAGGAATAGCGATTCGTCTTCAATTAAATGATAAAAATATACTATTAGACACAGAAACTATATTTAGAGAAAATAATAATATCCTAAAAGTGTGGTTTTTATATTACCGTTTAGCCAGATATTAGAAAGGTCATCATATAGGAATTCGTTTAGGTAATGCAGATATGCAGTTAAAAAATTTAGCTGCATTTGTGCCACTGTTTCCTGCAACTGGCAAAAATATTTATACATTATCAGTTATAACCTTTTTGGAGTCAGTGTTATGCCACCCACAGCAATGTAAACTCTTCAAGCACGTTGCATCAGTAAATATTACCAGAGAAATCATTACCTAGCTCTTGATGAAGCTCTGGAACAATAAGGTGTAAAATTTGTTAAACAAAATTTAACATCTGGCTTATCAGATCTGGTAATTCTAAAGCAAAGAATGATGGCGATTCAAGATGAATGCGATAGATTGTTGCTTTTATATAACAAATTCATGAGAGACAATGTAGTTAGTACAGGAGATCGAAATACTAAACAATACACTGAAGCTTTCTGGGAACTTGTTGATGAACTTACCAGTGCATTTAATCACCCTGATCTTACACAACATAATCTTTTCTGACACGCACAAGAAATGAAACCAGATGGTTATACACGAATGTTTAATTTTTATAAAAAGGGTCTTGTTTGGCTATATAATATTCTGCATGAGAATATCTATAAAACTAAAGAGGTGGTTCCTAAGAGAAGATAGGTTAAAGAATTAGTTAGTGTCTCGGCTAAAGAATATTTACTATCTTTGAAAAATAATTAAAGAATGTATAATTAATAAATTTTAAAATAAAATATATAAAAAGTTAAAATAAATTACCTAACTAGTATAGGTTTATGCTTTCCAGATCTTCATAATTCTTGTCTTGTTCAAATATTTTGCATTTTGGTTTCTTGATCCCGGGTTGATTGAACTTCTAATACCTACAAAAAATGTTATAAATCTTTAATTCAATTTAACACAAAAATTTATTAATAGAAGCTACTTTATACTTCTAAATAACCATATGGCTTGTTGTTTAAACTAGCTTATAATTTAACAAAATCTAGTATAACTTACTTTTGTAAAAAGGATGTAGACAATAAAGCTAAAAATTATGCTCTTCTTTGATCTGTAATATCTAAAAAAAATAAAATAAAAATAAAAAAAGTGAAGTTGTAAGTAAGCAAAATAAAGTAAGAAAATTGAATTTTATTAAGACATAAAGATCAAGTTTCTAGTAAGTTTTACAGTTTTACTTATAATGAAGGAAAAGCAAGTATATAATTTTTGTGTAACATTACTATATAAAATTGATCATTGTGATATTCTCTAACTGTTATTACCTGTAGTTAATTTGCCAATTAAAATCTAAAATTAGATATAATATATAAATCAATTTTGTATAACAAAAACAAAGAAGCTTTTTAAAAAAAACCTTATATCTCAAAATTTTGTCCATAAAACCACTTTTCAAGCTCTAATAAAAAAATTTTTTTGCTAAATTTTATTATAAAAAACTTTATTTTAACCCTAACCTCTAACTCTTATGCTTACTCTAATATTAAAGAGGTTAATTTTTTTTGTTTTTATAAAAATTATTATTTTTTATACATTGTAAATTACAGATAATAACCATCTACAGTGAACATTATATTATTTTATTTAAATTTTATTCAAAAATTTATTAAATCTATTGTAAAACAAATATATCAGTTTTATACAAATACTATTGTATTATAAAAAACATACTTATCACTTAAATTGTAACACAAACAAATTTGTCTGCATTTTTATAAAAAATTTTGATTTTTTTAATAAAATCTTAAATATTGATTTTAGCTATATATTTTCTAAATAAAATATTTAAATTTAGATTTGCTTTATTAACTTTATTAAATTTTTTTTTTTTTTTTTTTTTTTTTTTTTTTTAATTCTTTGATAGTCTTGTCAGTACCTTTATTACTAGATAATTAATTTTACATATGTTATTACACATGTTATTTATCTAAACTAAAATAACTAGGTCTGGCATCATCTGGTTGCTTCTTGAGTATCTAGATGCGACCTGTCATATTACTCTACACATAGGGCAGAAGACATTGTCAGCCCTGTTATGAGCCAAACCAAAACAGCTTCGAACTATTATTTATGATCTTCTCACTTGCATCATTCCACCTCTTTTTGACCTCTCTTGCTTTTGCTGAATTCTCTTTAGTCTTTCCTCCTTTTCTTCTTTAGACAAACATCTTCTTGCTCTTACTGAGTAGTTTGTGCTTTTTCTTTCTTTAAATGCATTGTCTGATCTTGTCTCTTCTGCTTCGCTATAATATCTTCTTGTCTTTTCTATCGATTTACCTTGTAGCATCTCTCCTTCTATATTAAATCAAAATATCTATTTCTGAAAATATAAAAAAATATTCTTCAGGCACTCATCTACTATCTTCTTGAATTTCATCACATCTTCTAAATTTTTGTATATTTTCTTTCTACATAGTCCTTTTACTAGACTTTTTCTAGCTCATGTCTTTTCTTCTTTGCTAAGTCTGATTAAAATTTTTCTAAAACTGTTTAGACTTAAGTTACTTTTTGCCTCTTCAGGTAGTTTGTCCTATACTATTTCTGTTGTTACTGCTTCTATGTTCTGCTAGTTGGATTCTTGTGCTTTTTATACCCATATATGGTCTAGTATTTCTTCAGCTCTGCTACCACACACTTTGCAATCGGCTTCAGTATAAATCTCTGGTTTTCTTTGCTATTGTTTCTGCAGCACTAGCAGCTCACCCGTAATTAATTTGAACCAAAAACTTAGTTTTTTACTTTTCTTAAAAGACTTGCATTTGTAGCTTGTGAAGTCACTCAGAAAAGATTCTACCCCAATTTTTTTCTGTTCTCTTCTGATACTGCCAACTTGCTTAGGTAAAATAAACTTAATCTTGTTGCTATCTTTGCTTGAAACAGTTTCTTAAAAAAGGTTTTCAGGCTCAATTCAATTTGGGTGTCTTTCTATTGCCACTGGAATCTTATTCAGTTGTTATAAGTTAATGCTACATCTGTAAACTAACCATACTCTGCACCTTTCTTTGCTAGAATATCCACTTTATCATTCCATTGCTCTCCACTATGACTCTTCACCTTTTCTAATACTAAATCTATATGCTTAACTTTAACTACCTCTAAAATACCTATTCTAATATTAATGTTCTTTGATCTTGACTATTTCTTCTCTTCTTGAAGTTCAGGCTGCTTTGTTAGCCCTGCTATTGCTGCTACACTATCTGTTTGAATTTTAGCTTTGCACCCCTGTGAAACTGTTAGAATGCAAGAAGAATTGCTGCTAGCTTCAGCTTCATTGATAAGGGCCATTTCTTTATTCTACAGTACCCTTCAAGTATTATCTTAGATGTATCTTCTCGAACGCGCAATCAGCTTGTCCTCATTGCTACTACTGACTTGTTTGTCTTTAATAACCCATCTGTATAGAAGAGAATTGCCTTTTCTGGTTGCTTCTTATTTATATTAAATTGTTCTCTGAGTACTTTCTGAAGCTCTGGATTAATTATATATCTTTTAATTAATTCTGTTTCTATTGACTCTTCAAGTGCAACTATAACTACTGTTTTTTTATCTTTAATCATTTTCATCTTATTGGCCATTACTATATTTTGAAACAGGGCTGTTGACAATGGGTACCTTCTTTCTTCTTCTTTTATACTTGGCTTAGGTAAGCTTGTTATTATTCTGTCTTTGCTATCTTAGCAACTGTTATTGTCTTCTGGTATCTTCTCTAAGATCGAGCCAAAATTGCATCCACCTTCCTTATTATTTTCACTATCTCTGAACTCAAACTTCTCCAATCTGACCCTTGTTTTCTCTTTTTCTTGTACTCTGCATATCTTTCTTTTCTTGTTCTCAATTTCACATAGCACCCATTCTTTGACTCTTTTGTCTTCAGAGATTGCTTTTTCTAGGTAGACAATTGTTCTTTTATTTGAATTGCTTTTAATATATTCAGCTTTTACTTGTTTTGAAAGCTGGTCTCGTAGCAACAATCTCTCTATTACTTCAAACCACTTTGCCTTCTTACCCTGGCTAGACCTTCCTCTTATAAACTTAATTTGCTGCTATATTATTAGTCAATGTTCAGTATGATCAATAATTTGTAATATATAAAATATCATTAATTTTTTTAACTCTCTCGTAAGTCTGCTTATGTTTCCTTTTAATAGCAGCTTGCTCAAAGGAGTGCCTGTATCCTTTATGTTCTACAAAGAGTTTAAATTACCTATTGTTAAATCTATTCTTTTTGCTCTTAGTAATGCTGTGCATGCCAAATTATTCTTCCACAACTTGCTTAGCTGTTTGTCATCTTCTGTCTGTCATATTGTACTAGTCAGACCCACATCTAAAAAACTCTTTTTAACTCAGATTTGTATTACTACCTCTTCAACTTGTATACTGTTTAGTTTATTTTGTAGAGCAATTAACTGCTTAGTTACAATTTCTTGTTCTAGTGATTTGCAATCTCCCAAATCTTTATGCAAGATTATATTATTATCGACTGTTCGGGCTAATTCTAGTTTGCTTTTGACTAGTCTTATAAATAGTTGATGGATCTTCTCAATTGACTGAGTACTGAGTTTACTAACTTGCAGAATGTAACTAAGTTTTAGTAGTAAAACCATATTGTTTATATATGGGACCCCCCATAGCAAAAGAAGGGGATGGGCCAAAAAATTAAAAAATTTATTCCTATGCTAATTTTATTCTAATCAATCTAATTTCTCAAGATATTGAATTTTTTTAAAAAAAATTTTTTTGGCCCATCCCCTCTTTTTGCTATAGGGGGTCCCATATGCTAATTGGCTTATTGTTAGCTTTTTCTACTATAATGTTAAGGTTATTTGTCTGATGATTTCCTTGGCTTTGTCTCTTACTAGAGATTCTTTCAACTTTCCACTTAACCAAATACCAAGCATTCTTACTGCAATGCTATCTTTGGTGGCTCTAATTTTATCTTGATTAAATTGTACCTTCTTAGCCTCATAGTTTTTGATCTTGCAGTTCATTACTACCAAATTACATTTCTTGCTATTTATCTATATATCATTAATCATATAGAATTCATTTGTGACTTTCAGCATTCTTTCCATCTCTGCTTTGCTGTTCGCTAGCCATGCCATATTGTTTGCATAGGCTATTGCTGCCTGCCTCACACAGATTTTGGTCTCTGCCTCTGTTGTTATATCTTCTAGGATGCATGTTTCAACTTCATAGCCAAAAGACTTATCATCCTGTATTCTACATAGAAGTGGATCATAGAAAATTCACCAAATGATTGGGGATATCACTTCCCCTTGATCGATACCATCACCTGCCTCGAATGGTAACATGTAGCCATCTTGTACTATTACTTTTATCTGTCTTTTGCTAAAAAGCTATATATTAATTTGATACTTGTAGTAGGGAGCTTGATTCTCTTAAGTGCTAACATTAACATCTCCACTGATACGGAGTTATATGCTTTCTGCATATCTTGAAATACAACCCACAACTCTTTCCTTTTTTTTTTTTGCATCCTCCATGACTGCATTAATGATCTGTACTGGTTCTTCTATTGAGCAGCCTAGGAGCCCTGCATAATTTGGCCCTTTTAAGATACTATGCTTTGCCAGAATCCTATTAGATGCTTATTAAAAATTTTTATTACACACTTTCTAAAAGTTTTTAAAAGTGCAATTGGTCTTATATTGTCTAACTAAAAGTTCTAATCCAGGCCTTTTGAGATTGGATAGATTTGTGCAAGCTTCTACTTAACTGGAATTACTCTTTTATATATACATTTTTCTGCAAATTTTCTAAAAATACTTTGTGATGCTGCTCTAGCTTTTTTAATTAGTGTATAGCTTATTTCCAATATACCCGGGGCTGTTTTAGTTTTCAGTTCTATAAGCATCTCTTGCTATTCTTCATCTTTGATCAGGTCATTTAAATACTTAAACCATTCTTCCTTAATTCTGCTTATTGGCTTGTAAACTTCTTCCCACTTATTTGTTATCTTGTTAAATTGTACTTGGCATTTTCTAAACTAGTTTTGGAAGTGTTCTTTTGTTGCCTCCTTAATACCATCTGAATCATTAATGAGTGTAAAGCTACTGTCCTTTTCTTTTAAAACCTAATCTATTTTTATTTTTTTAAAAGGCCTTTCTAGCAAGCTTGCCAACATTTTTCCTTGCTCTCATGTTATTCTTTCACAATATTTGTTGATATACTTTTTGATTGTTTTCTTCTTGGCTTTTTCTCTTTCTTGTATCCATCTTGCTCTTAGTAGCTTCCACTACTTTATTAGATCTTCATGCCAAGTTTCATCTATATATGATGTTGTTTGAAAGATTTTGGTTCTATATTTAAGGTTAATTTCTTCTATTAATATATTAATCTCAGCTCTGTTGTCTATGTTAACTTTATGACTAATTTTTTTCTTTAAACTTCTTACTAGTTTGCTAATCTTAATCGTGTTTTTGTGCATACAAGATTTTTTTAACTTATTTTCTCTTCTTGTATTGATTATTTTAGGAACCTTTTTTCTAGAAATATTCTTATTAGCTGCATATATTATTTCTGCAGCTATCTTCTCCTAAACAAAATCTACCTCAAATTCTGTATCAGTTGAATCTCCTATACTACTATTTAATTGTTCGCAGCATAGATTTTTCTCAAAATATTGCTGTAAATCATTAGAATAATCTTTCTAATTGTCTTTTGTTGCTTTATCATATAAAAAAATTGTTCACAGGTGCTCTTTTGAGCTTTGCTATTGTTTTGTATTGCCGATTTTAGCCTTAACTTTGTTAGAGCTACACTGTGATTACTACACGTATATGTGCTTAGACCTATAATTTCTGTTTGCACTAGTGTTTTTATAAGATCAGTTGATAACCAAATATAATCAATTCTTGTTTGGATCTTGGAATTGCCCCAAGTGTTTGCTTTTGTACTTGGGTTAACAGCCCAGTATATATTACAGAAGCTTTGTGCTAGAAATTATCAAAACAAAAAAGTATTCATTTATTCCTTTGCTTTTTTTAATTTGATTTGTCTACTCTGGGATCTACTACATAATTGAAGTCCCTCATTATTATGAACTGTGTTATTGGTCCACGTCTTATAAAGTATTGTATTATATGCTATTGAATTTTGTGAGCCTGTTCTTTGTCATTTAGTAGTATATATAGCATTATTACTACAAGCTCTAATTGCTTAAAGAATAGCCTTGCTTCAATTAAATACTTATTTATTCTTTTGACAATACCAATGTGCCTCTCCCAATCACTTCTTATTATTAAGCTTACTCCATAACCTTTCTTTTTGTCTTCTGCTACACTAGCCCAAAAGCTAATAAAGTCTTAATTATCTTTCATCATGTAATAGCCTTCTTTGCTTCTCATATTTGTCTCTGCCATGCTAATACTCTCCTCTATAGCCCAATCTAACAATCCTTCTAACTTGTAACTATTACTGTTTCTTAAACTGTTTATATTATAGTAAGTAACTTTTAGATCTACTATTTTTTTATCTTGAATTAACTGCATGATTTCTCTTCTCGAATCCAGAGCCTCTGCTCTGATGTTTTCTGATGTGGAGCCTTTGGCCAATTTTAGGAGTGTCAGAATATAATACCCTGCATGTCTTGTCTCTCTAGCTTGTCAAGTCTACTCAGAATCTCAATTAAAATATCTTTTACTTCGCTACTTTTAGAGGTTCTTTCTTTTCTGTCTCTTACTGTGTTTTTGATATTTCTCTCTTTTCATTTCTTTTCTTTATCTTGTTTATGATCACTTGCTATGTGTATAAACTTGGAGTCTTTGCTACTAGACCTTTTTTTATTTCTTCTTATTGGTTAGCAGTCTATCGATAAGCTTCGTGTTCTTCCTGCTCTTGACTCCTTACATGGTTGCTCTACTTGCTTAGCCTATAACATGCAGTATTGTTGTACTTTACTTTGCATTTCAAGGCTTCTTCTTTGTCTTTTAAAGATTTAAAATATACAATAGCTAAAGTTCTTGGGTTACCATTGCTGTTTATTGGAATATATTTTGCCACTACTTTTTGCTTTTTGAGTTGTCTTAGCAGAAGTGTCTCTTGTGCATATTGTGGCAAATTTCTTAATACTGTTTTATATTGTACCTTTCTTTTACTACTTCTATATCAAAGTTGCCAAAACTAACTCTTGTTACTTTTCCCTTATTTAGCAGAAGTACCCACATATTTTTAAGTGTAGCTATTTTCTCTTTACTATAAAAATTCACTCATACAATTGCTATTTTACTTTTGCTTTTGATATGCCAACTTTGATATAGAAGTAGTAAAAGAAAGGTACAATATAAAACAGTATTAAGAA